TCACTTGGAGGACGAGAAATAGCAAGAAATAGAGGGGGGAGGTTTTGCCCTTTGAACCTTCGAAGGAGTTCGGTTTCAGATGTGAGCTTATGGCATTCTAGAACTCTTTTCAAACTTTATCTATACATTTTTTCACTAATTTCTTTCACTTGGGGATCTAGAGAGAGACATGCAAAATGTTTTTTTAATTTTTCCTAGCAATTTAGAGTGATTTTATGCCCAACTTACTTGGCTCACATGAACTCTAGTTAATATGTATATTTACTTTTTTATTTTTGGTCCATAGGGTGTTTATAACATTTTTTAAGCTCTAGGTCTAGAATAATATAATATTTGTACAAAAAAAATAGACAATTCCTTCAACATTTATATGTGAATAGTATATTGTCTATTGATGCAAATATATCTTTTTTTCTTTTCGAAGGCCACATATGGACAGGTCACGGATGTACACGAAACGAAGACATGATGTTTCGTACATACAAGATGTGAATGTTTTTATTGAAGCCGCTAAAAGACACGCTTTGATTAAGCAGACAATGGATATATATTGTCCTTGTTGTGATTGTTGGAACCGTATAGTATGCCGGGATCCAAATACGATAAGATCACACTTAGTAAGAATGGGTTTCAAGGAGAACTACGAGATTTGGGATCATCATGGTGAGACGTACGGATGCAGGCAACAAGGAAGCTACAGAAGCACCAGAAGGGGCTTATTCTTTGATCCTGACTCGGAGTATGCCACAGATCCCAAGTTTGAGTCTCTTCGCGGCATGCGAACATCCCTTCGTTTCATTTTTCGAGCAGAAGCACAATTAATGTTAATGAATAGTTTGTAATATATATTTGAAATTATGCTACAAATACTTTGTTGGTCATGTGTGTATTGGTTAACTAGTTCACTACTATGTATATATGAAGTTAATTTGAATCATTTGCAATCGAGTCGAAACTTGGTGGGAAAAATCGATTTCAAATATGGCGGAAATTTTGAATTCCAAAAGTTTAAAACTGATTTTCGAGGCGCGATTCGATGAACCACACGGGCAAATACATTTTCAGAGGCGATTGCGTTGCCACAACCGTCCTTGATAAAAAACATTTTCAAGGACGGTTGCAGTGCAGCAATCGCCACTAAAATGGGGTTTCTGAGGGCGGTTCTCATATTTGGGCCGCCCTAAAATGCATTGTTAAAGGCGGTTCTCTTAATGCAACCGCCTTTAAAATACCATTTTAGGGCGGATATCGTAATGGAACCACCCCTAAAAATGCTTTTCCATAGACGGTTAAATGCCCGATGCTAGAAACGCTAATATTTAAAATTGGTGTCATTGTAGCGGTTTTCCCAACTGCCCCTGAAAACTAGATTTAACCGCCTCTAAAAAGCTTTTATGTACTAGTGAACTTTTCCCAGTACCATTGTTTTTTATGTTTATTAAGCTGGAAATAATGTTAACTTGAGCCGCAAAATTATGTTGAAGTTCTCTGATTGAGATGGAGCCGACATGAAATTTTAATTGGAGAATGTTTAAGTGTGGCTTCTGCATATAATTCTGACCGATGTTTATTTATATGCATATGTCATAAATTTATGATCATAGTTCTTTTTCGGTTTTTCTCAATGGTGATACGGAATAGAGTTTCATTAGCATGTTTTAATCAGACCAACATAGGGTTATTTGCATGCACAACATTATTTTAACATTGTTACTAATGTTCTATTTTTATTGATTCAATTGTTAACGCCTCAGTTGTTGCTGATCAGCTCCATAGCACCATTCCTCTCAATGGCACTATTTTATTAGTAAGCAGTGATAAGAACATGCTGCAAATAATAAATTAAAGGGTTCCTCTCATCTAATTTTGATACGAAGGATCTCGGTGAAAGCCTCGGTTTGTCTAAAAATATTTACACTATTAAAGTACTCAAATGTTCACCTAAATCTGCACTTGTTGTGAAGGGCGATAAATTGGGCGACTTTCAATGTGCTAAGAATAAGATACAATCTGATCAGATGAAGTTAATTCCTTTGCTTATGCTGTTGGAAGCATTACATATGGACAAGTATGTACATGTCCTGTTTTAGCCTATGTACATAACCGGGTTGCTTGGCAAATTTTAGTCAAATCATGGAATGGATCAATGGAAGGCTGTTAATAGAATTTTATGTTATTTGCATGGGACTAAGCATTATATGCTCACATATAAGAAGTATGATAACCTTGAGGTTGTTGGTAAACGGTTATGTAGACGCTGATCTCGCTGGTTGTGTTGATAGTAGAAGGTTGACCTCTAGATATGTCTTTGCAGTAGCGCGAGGAGTCATTTCGTAGACAAGCACTAAGCAGTCCATGCAACAGCATGAACGATGCGTGCAGAATTTTTGGCATATTATGAAGCTACAGGGCAAGTCGTATGGTTAAACAATTTTATTTCTAGACTTAGAGTGGTAGACAACATCTCGAAAATCATTTACGATACACTGTGATAATCAGGCTGCAGTGTTTGTTTCAAGTAATACCACGTCAAGTCGTGTTGGCGAACACATTGACATTAAATATTTTGTTGTGAAGATATAACTCAGGATCAAATTGTTAATATTGTGCATATGTTAGTACTACAGTGACATTAGCCATTCCTTTAACAAAAAGCTTACCACCCAAAAATTTTCATGGTCATGTTTTTTTTCGCGATCGTGCCTTGGCATGTTTTTCAATAAGCAGAAATAGAGTTTTTTAGATCCTAAGCTGGCCCTGGTAATCCAAAGGTTACCGAGACCAGCGACCGAAAAAACACACGTGGTTGTGATTTACACAACAGTATTTTGTGACATGATAACAACGTGTGGCCTAGGCACTCAGCGTAGCGACAGGAGCCACCGCCGCTATCAGAAACCCGCCATGTACCAGTCTTCGGCCCCTTCCTCGATCTAGATGGCCAACTGCAACGGGAGAGTAGCGGCATACAAGAGTCGCCTGCTCTTGGGCAACGAACTCCGTAACGACAATGCGACGCGCACGAGCATTGTGACCTCGCACGTTCCATCCGAAACACGTAGTTGACGCACGTGAGCATTGGTCTCCTATAGATGCACACAAGGGTCGCTCGCTCCTGTGCGAGGAACTTCCCTAACAACATTTCGACGTGCACGACCATTAAGTCCACGCACGTTCCATACAAAGCAACTAGAAGATGGTGACATTAAGCAACATATGCGCGACGGAAGCAGTACACGGTGTTTAGACTGCATCAACGTCTAACCCAGCCATATCGAGGTTCATGGCAACTGGGTCGAACTCGGCTGAGAATAGCATTTCCAGGGCCTGCTGTTTGGATTCCAACAACGGTTCCTGAAATGTCGCATGGGTATAGTGGAAAGCCTATGATCCTAGATGAGGGCCCTTAGACAACCAACTCCCATCATGTTTTAGTTTCATCCTATCAAAGTTAATTGGTGTAGTACGGGTACTCGTGTTGCAGTGGCATTCTTCAAACCATCTTAACACATTCTTGGATGGCATCCCTCCACGATATTACCAGATCATGGCTCGCGCCAGCTCAACCAAGAGCACTTGTTTGCAACGACCAGCTTCAGGAGCAGGGGCGGGTAGGTCCATATATAGGTGGAGTTGCCAATGGTATTTTGTTTTTAGTTTCGAGGATGCCATTTTTTTTGGGAACTCAAAGGGTTTGCACCCCTGCATTTAATTTATTTAAAGTAAAAGAGGGTTACAGTACAGACAAGATATGATGTGGATGCCATTTTTTGGATGCTTTATTTAATTTCGTTCCCAAACGTGCATGTAGTCGCAGCGGTTCATGTGGCGAGACAGAGCTGAGCATGTGGATTGGGCATTGCCAAGGCTCATGTGGCGAGACAGAGCTGAGCAGAGACAAGACACAGAACAGCTTGCCACCTTTATCTCCCCTGTTAGAAATGATACTCAGTCAGTGGTTGTAGAAGCCATGCCGCAATATACTACTGCCGTGCAAGAACACAGGAAAATACAAATATATACACATATAAAGCATAGCGATCAGGACAAGGTGCGCCGCTGCATTATGCATGACTGATACAGTAAAGATTGAGCTTCAGCGATACACCTTTTCAGCAAGCGGTTACTTGGAGCTTCTGTGATGCTTTGAAGATATCACAGCCCAGAAAAAACGAACACGCTGTACCTAAAGTTTGGGTATTGCTTCCTCATCCGGTGAACGATTATACTTAAACACCAAGGCAAACCAAACGACTGAGTAGAGTCCGCAAGGCTGGTGAGTCATATCCATGCATCATAGATCCAAATTGCAACACAAGAAGGTTACGTCATCATTATCAGAGCCAAGTCTTTGAACGAATTTATTACTAGCGGGAACAGTCATGAATCAACAGAATAGAATGAAGGCAAGACAATACTATAGTATATAGATCAGTAAAAGGGAAGATTCTGCGATCGCAGGAGTGACCATCATATCGCCATTCGGTCTGCACCACACTCTTCACGGCTCTTAGTTCCACAACCAGCTAAGCAGTATCCCAGGTAGGAGTAGGTCACGGGCACGGCTGCCAAGCTTTCAGTCCACAAGGCTGCATATATTGTCTTAATGCTACCTTTTTCATCCCATTGTGGGTGCCCTTATGATGACTTTCAAAATTTGTACTGAAATATATATTGTATGTAGTGCCTATGCCCAGATTTGATAGGGTTTATTAAAAAGGAAATCATGATTTAAGGAGGAAATCCTTAGAGTTATCTTAAAATTTTAGAACATATTGTATTGCAGGGCGGGGGGTGTGGGGGTGCAGGGGCGGGGGAGTATAATTAGAACATGCAGAACAGAAGCTCTGAGAAAGCAGTACATCTATCCATACATTTTGATGATCATGATTACTGAGTGATTAATATCTCCTCACTGGGCTTAGGCTTGGCGACAATAATCTCCAGCCACCCTTCAAACAACCTCGCATTCACCTTCTTATGATCGCAGCCGGGAGGCATCAGCAGTTGGACGGGCAGCGAACTCTTCGGGCTGTCGTCTTTTCTTTGCCGCCGCCGTCACCCTGCTGCTTCTGCTTGTACCTGATGACCAGGAGCACCTGGTCGTCCGTTACTGCAACCTCCAGTTCATCCTTGGTCGTCTTTGCTCCCACCTTGAGCCTGAGGGTGATGAAATTCGTGTCTTCCGTGATAGTCCAGTCGCCACCTGATTCTGGTGTTCGAGGGTGCACCAGGGCTTTCCAAATTTCAAAATCCCGAGTTACTTTACTGTATATATATGGTACTTTTATAATAACTAGTGTACATACTGCACCAGCTTCGTACATCTTACCACTGGGTTGCATATCGTACTTGTACGCGGCAGTACTTATTTTGCGCATGGCAATGGCACGCGAAGACAGGAGCCAGCCGGGACGACGAGCAGCCACTACCGGCGACGATGATGCAGCCGGTTCTTTGCGGAGCTGCAGGGCGGCGGCGACAGCGGATTTTCCCTGCGCCGGTGCCGGCGCTGGCGGCGCACGGCTCAGGAGAGTGGTGGTGTAGGAGCTCAACATCGCCATCATATCTATCGCACCGCGCTAGTAGTGCTGTGCTAGCTACACGGACGACGGTGTGCACTTGCACTTATATGTGTTCTTGTGCCGTGCGGCTTGCTAGCTGTGGCGATATATATGCATCGTATGTATAAGCTTATATATAGAGGACGTGTGGGGGGAGCAAGTGCTGGGTCGCTTTGCTTCGTCAGCCAGTTTAGAATACATATTTAGTGAACTGAACAAGCTACTGGCTTTTATAAAAGTATAAAGCATATGTGTTGGTTAGCTTTGCTTTGTCTACCGGTTCAGAATATTTGGTGAACTAAACGAACATTTTTTGTTGTCGTTTGTAAAAGCTAGTATGAGCGACATTCCAGTTTGGAATAGTACAAAATCGCTTTTGCTGACGCTTGTGATTTTTTTTCACCAGTGGTTCATAATGGATAGGTGCCAGTAGAAATGAAACTGCAGGTCCATGGCTATGAACGGCCAATGTAAATTCATATTTACTTACTGTTTTTTAAGTCTACCACAAGAGAACCGCTAGTGTAAATACATGATTTCTACTGCCTGTAGGCTTAAAGAAAATAGTCAGTACAAATACATTTATACAGGAGGTTTTCTTAACATTGCACCACTGCAAACAATAATTAGAAATTATTTTTTGAATTTTCAAATAATCTCGGATGGAGAAATGGTCTGAACTAAAGTTGTAGTATTTGAAAAGATCTACACCTTTGTAGTTGTTGACTATTTTTTCATTTCAAATCATTTAGGCTCAAAAATTATGTTTTAAGATTAATGATTTTAAAATTCATAATTTTTTGAATTTCTCAAATGATCTTTGATGGAAAAACGATCAAAAGCAAAGTTGTAGTTCTCGACGAGATCTAAAACCTTGTAGTCGGAATGTTTTTCATTTAAATCCATTTAGAGCCTTAATTCTTAATTTCATTATCAATTTGACTGAATACTAAGGGAATGTTCTCATGTTAAGCCATAAGTGACTCATGAGTTAGATTCCTTGGTACCGCAACTTGCGTTTATTTCTCACGAAAATGAAAAAAAACTACAAATCGTGTGTGGCTGCCTAGTATGGGCCTGTCGGTGTCTAAAATGGCGCTCTAGACACGATGACAAGTAAATTTGTGACTACGCGTCTAGGCCCAGATGGTGTGCAAAGAGGACACGAGAATTATACTGGTTTGGGTTGAATGTCCCTACGTCCAGTTTCGAGCTGCTTGTGTTACAAGCACTTGGTTTGTAGTAGGAGGTTACAAACTGGCGAGAGAGTGAGCAGATCCCAAGTCTCTGTGTGTTCGAGTGGAGTTGAAGTGCTCCGTGTGTGCGATGGTGTCTGTCAACCATCGATGGATCGACCGGTCCTAGAGTCCCTCCCTTCGTACGGTGTCCCGCCTCCCCTTTTATAGACCAAGGGGGGAGAGCAGGTTACATGAGAAAGAGGGAGGAGAAAGAGAAAAAGGCTCCCGGGGTTGTGCTGTCCTCCTCTTCATGTGGGTCCCGCTTATCCTGTAGATCGTGGCAGAAGCGGCGCCATGCCAGAGCCCTGTTAGCCGCTGCAGCACACGTGGGGGCGTCGTACGCCGGTCTTGTCGTCCTTCCCATCCGGGCGGACGGTATGGTCAACGACTCCCTCTGATGGAGGCCATACGGGGAGTTGGCAGCACAGTGCTGGCCTGGTGACGCTGTGGGCGACGTGAGGCTCCCAGCGCGACCCATCATGGCCACTAGTCACATCAGGATGTGCCTGCCCCCTCCCTGATGTCAGAGACGTGCTCCCGGACTCATTTCCCCACCCCATAGTGGTTGAGGCAGTGCGGAAATCTTGTCCCGGGGGCTAGGCGAAGAGAAGCCCACGCCCTGGGGGTCGGGCGAGACGGAACCCGACCCTCGGGAGTTGGACGAGTCGGAGACCTCCCTGAGGGGTCGGACGAGGCGGGATCCGTGTCCCTGGGGTCGAACGAGGCGGAGGCCACACCCCCGGGGTCGGACGAGGCCACGGTCATGCCCCTTAACCGTCCGAGTGAACTGATCGTCGATGACCATCAGTTCCCCTTCTTTGGGCACCCAAATATTGGTATCCGACAGTAGCCCCCGAGCCTTTGGAGGAGTGGGACATTCCTTCAAGGGCTTGAATCGAGCGGAGTGGTCTCCGTCGGCGCTGTCCTAGAGTGCGTTCCCCTTGCGTGTATCGGCCCTTGTCGTTCGCGCAATCATGGGCGCGTATGGAGCCCCCGAGCCCTGGCTTGTTGTGGGGGCGTGACCATTCGTTGGGTCAAGGTCCGAGCATAGCCCCCGAGCCCCCGCGCGTTGCGGGAGACCGATCAGGCGACTTCTCGTCTTTGTTCGTTGTCCTTCACGCGTTCCTTCGTGAAACGGAGGAGGTGAGCCGGGCCATGCTATCCTCGTTGGACAAACCATGGTGTGACGCGGTTCAAAAAGTTAGATCTACAAATAATTTTTTCAGCTGGGCTATTTTTAAAGTATTAGTTATAAAAAGGTTGAGAGAATAAAAAAAATCCATCCCACAAAATACTGTCAATATAGATGATCAGAAGCTTTTATGTGAATGGGCTTTGGACAGATAATCAAAAGAAAACCTCTACTGACCAGCTCTGGCAGATTCAACTTCTCGACTAATAACAACTCTACACTACCGGAAACCGGTACTTTGCCGAGTGCCGGAAGCTTTGCCGAGTGTATTTTATCGGGTACTTGGCAAAGACGGCTTTGCCGAGTACTTTTTTCAGCACTCGGCAAAGATGTATTTTGCCGAGTGCCATTTTTTGGCACTCGGCAAAATGCGTCTTTGCCGAGTGTCTTTTTCTGGCACTCGGCAAAGATGTATTTTGCCGAGTGCCATTTTTTGGCACTCGGCAAAATACATCTTTGCCGAGTGCCTTTTTTTGGCACTCGGCAAAGAGACATTTTGCCGTGTGCATTTTTTTTTGGCCCATGGCAAATTATTTTTTCAAAGCAATTTTTGAGGCCCGAAATGAATTCAAATGAAAAAATTTTCAACTACAAAGTTGCATAACTTCTCAAGATCTACAAAGTTTATTTTGGTCATTTCTTCATTTGACAAAACAACAATAACGTTGTTCATAAAATCTACGTCTCTCTCATATGTCTCATATTAGTTTCATGAAAGTAGAAGAGGGATATATAAGATTTGTGAATAATGTTACTACCACTATGTCGGATGAACAAATGACCAAAATAAACTTTGTAGATCTTGAGAAGTTATGAAATTTTGTAGTTGGCAACATTTTGATTTGAAATCATCTTGTCATGCAAAAACGGCGTTTGAATTTGAAAAAATTTTAAAATTTGATTTTTTCAAAAGACCTCGGATGGAAAAACTTCCTAAACGAAAATTGTAGATCTCCAAAAGTTATGAAACTATGTAGCTGACAACTTTTTGATTTGAAATCATCTTATCATGCAAAACTACGTTTGAATCTCTCAAATTTAAAATTCGAATTTTTCAAACGACCTCGGATGGAAAAACTTCCTAAATGAAAATTGTAGATCTCAAAAAGTTATGAAACTTTATAGTTGACCACTTTTTTATTTGAATTCGTTTAGGGCCTCAAACAAGCAATTTACTCTCGGTTTAGTATAATACATGAGGATAGATAACGGAATTTAGACACAAGTGACAGTGTAGTGCAGTGGTAGAGCACAAGACACGCGAGGGAGAGGTCGTGAGTTCGAATCGCACCGGCCGCGTTAGCCGCGAATTTTGCGCAAAAAATACAGCGACTTCGATGGCCGGTGGCGCTGGACGGACGGGCGCTGGCCGGTGGCGACCTTCCCTAAAAAAAATTGCTATTATTTTTGGGTTTTTTCGCATTTTCATTTTGCCGAGTGCTTTTCCGGCACTCGACAAAGGCTTTGCAGAGTGCCCGACAAATAGCACTCGGCAAAGGCTTCTTTGCCGATTAATTCTTTGCCGAGTGCCCTTTGCCGAGTGCGGCACTCGGCAAAGCCTTTGCCGAGTGTATTTCGGGCTTTGCCGAGTGCCGGAGATACTCGGCAAAGTGCCGGTTTCCAGTAGTGCTAGTACGTGGATGTTAGCACAAGGGTCCTCAAAATCATAGAGACAACCCTATCAGTTATTTTATATTATAACATATACTCCCTCTGTCGAAGAAAACATACAACTACAGGTTGCGTGTCGACAAAAGTAGTTTACGTTTGACCAAATTTTAGTGAATATTATTCACATTTATGACTTCAAATTAATTTATTAAGAAAATACATTTCGTAATGAATCTAATAATATTTATTTGATATCAAAATATTAATATCTTTTTATATATAATTAATCAAACTTGTGATACTAAACTATGATACTATGCTAGAATTGTATGTTTTTATCGACGGAGGGAGTATATAATAGAGAAGACGTATGATTAAACAACATCAGAATACAAGATTATTAGTTAGTTTATTGGTTGTCAATACCGTAATACTAAAAGCAAAGCAGCTACATGGTACATACTGCTTGTAGCTAGGTACAATATTCGCACATGCAGAACCAGAAGCTATATATGTCGTATATATACTGATGATGATTTGATGATCACTGCTGGTGGGACGACGACGGTGGCGGCGAGATGTCTATCTTCCTGGCCTCGTGCTTAGGCTTGGGGATAGCGATAATGAGCCAGCCGTTGGACGACATCATCCCCTTGGCATTCCTGCCGTCGTAGCCGGGAGGCATCGTGAGCTGGACGTTCAGCGAGCTCGCTGGGTTGTCGTCGTCGGCGGAGGCGTCCTTGTGGTCGCCGCCGCCACCGCCGACCCTGTACTTGATGACCAGGCGCGCCAGGTCCTCCGTCGTTGTAACCTCCAATTTCTCATTGCTCGTCGACTCTCCCACCCTGAACTTGAGGATGAAGTGGTCCCTGTCTTCCATGACGCTCCAGTTGTCGCCCGATAATGTGGGAATGTGCAGCAGGACTAATTTCCAAATTCCCAAAATCAAAGTTCCTGTCAGTAGTATATAACATACAGGGGCGAGCATGGTAGACGAGCTAGCTACAAGTTATTACCGTCGCGTTCGATGTTGTACGTGTACTTCTGCGCATGGCACGCGAAGACAGCAGCCCGGGACGGCGACTCCTTGTCTTTGCATGAGGCCCAACGCAGAGCAGCTACTGACGAAGCCGCCGCCGGCTGTTTGCTGCGGAGCTGCAGTGATCCCGCTGCGGGAGAGGATTTTGCCGGAGCTGGCGGCGCCAGGCTCATCAGGAGGGTGGTGTAGGAGGAGCCCAAGATCGCCATCTATCAGGAGGGTGCTGTTGCAAGCACGACGGTGTGTGTTGCACTTATGTTCTTCGTGCTTTCGATCTGCTTTGTGCACTGCGCGCTCCGCTTATTCTGTGTGGCTTGGCGACGCAATATCCTACAGGCATGCATGCCTTATATAGAGGCCCGGCCGGGGGAGGCAAGTGCTAGCCAGGTAGTGGGGTACCTTTGCTTCTCCTGCCAGTACAGAATAAGTATACAGACATGATCGAATGTGACGGTTACCTTTGCTTTGTCTGATGGTTGGGAATATTTAGTGAACTGATGAAGAAGCAGCTTTTCTTTCTTTTTCATGTAAGATTATGAGCGAGCGGCAACGCCAACGGCGGCCAGCCATGCGCGTGGCGAGCTTTCCACCTGCAGGTACAGGTAGACCTCACCTCTTCTGCGCGCTAGCTCCAGCAGCTGTGTGCGTTTGCGTGGCAAGCTAGCTTCAGTTCAGAATATAACACAATCTGCTACTAGCTTTTATAGAAGTATAAGAACAAGCATATGTGTGATGGTTAGCTTTGCTTTGTCTGACCTCTAACGTTTCGGAATGTTTTGTGAACGGAAGAACCAAGTAGCCACTACTTGTACGGGAATGCTCTTGTGCTGGCGTCCGGGGACGGAAGGACGCGGCTTCCCTGCTCTTATCCGTCCACACCCCTTCCAAAAAAATAAAAAATTCTCTCTACGCACTCGGCCTCCACCGCCGCGGCCTTATCCACCGCTCCATCGGACCTCTGCGCCTGACTCCACCGCGCCGCCCTCCACCATGCTGCTCGCCTGCATCACGGCATCCGAGTCGCCGAGCAGGTACTCGCCAAGGGTGCGCTGTCCCAGGTCGTCGAGCAGGTGCTCTCACACCCAGGGGTGCTCGCGCAGATGCTCGCCCAGGGTGCTCGCGCGCCTCACGCAGGTGCTCGCCCAGGCCGCCAAGCAGGTCATCGCCCAGGGGCGCACCTCCGCGCCGGCGTCGAGCTCCGCGATTCATCCAAGCAACAAGGTGGCATTGCGCGCTGAAAACGCATGTTGCAAGAGTATGTTTCAAATATTTCAGGTGTTTCATCCGGATGTTGCAAGTGTTTCATGTGGATGTTGCAAAAGTAGATTGAAATATTTCATATGTTGCAATAGTTGTGCGCGTATGTTGCAAGCTTTTATTCCCAATGTTTCAAATATTTTCCTAGACGTCTGTTGCAAGTGTGTTTATTTAGATGTTGCATATGTTTTACTAATATGTTGCAAGTGTTTTGTCTGGATGTTGTGTATGTTTTACATTGTTTTCAAGTGTTTTTTTATGTTTTTGCAAGTGTTTCATTCAAATGCATGTTTCAAGTGTTTTAGCTGCCTTCATACGTATGTTGCAAGTTGTTGTAACACGGCCTCGGTGGGTGGCGAAGGCCTCCGACGACGAGGTGTCGCCAAGGCGTCTTCGACCGTCTTAGGGCGGAGATCTAGCGCTGACTAAAGGAACTTTCCTGGCTATGCTCATAGGGCGCTGCACGAGGCTCAGCGAGCTTATCGCGGATTCCGCCCGGACCAGGCACAGACATCTCTGGCCGCTCAGGCGGACGCCGCCCCGCTTCGGCCGACGGGCGTCTCCGGCGATGAGGGCGAAGGCCGCCTTACCCCTGAACTAATCAAACAAACAATCTTGCCTAAGTGTGTGCAGGTACCTAAGCGCAGGCGCCCGTGGTCCGCGCGAGCGCGCCAGCATGGCCCCCGTGCGGCCGGGCGGAGATCTACGGATGATGTCTTCGACCGAACTGGCGGAGACCCGCGTAGACAGCGGCGCGCCCCTGAAGACGGAGGCCAGCATCGGGAACCCAGGCCTCTGGGCCGAAGACCGAGGCACGGTGGGCCGGCCGCTCATGGAGGCCCAGTACTTGAACACGGTGAGGCAGGATTGCCCCGCAAACAAGAGACTAGAGGGGGAATATTCCAGGAATGTACTGTAGCAGTTAAGGGGCATTGTAATAAATTCTGTCAAGAAGTAGTTGAGCCCTATAAATGGGGAACACTTGTAACAGTGCCGGAGGATGGTGGATGAATTAATGAAACCTTAGCTTTCCATGCCAGTTTCCTACACGCCCACCTGTCGTGCCTATCCCGAGCCTCCGCCCGAGGGCGACGCCTGGTGGGCGGAGGCCTCTGTCTCCTCCACGCTGTTTGAGACCGCCAGTCTCAACATTGGCGCCCACCGTGGTTTGGCCAAGGCAAACCAACGATGGTAGGGAAAAGAAAAACCACCACCAGAGCAGCAATGACCACGGGTCAGAGAGGAAGGCCTAGGCGCACCGCTCGTAGCACCTATGCAACCTCACCTGCGGAGGATGACACCAGAGCAGATGCCCAGGGTCAACCACCGGAACCCCAAGATCCAGAAATTCAAGATCCGGAGGCCCAACCAAATTCAGCCACAACACTCGAGCAAGAACTGCAACAGCTGCAAGCACAGTTGCAAAGAGCGCAACAAGAGAGGGATAGAATGGCAGCAGCATTCACAGCTAATCAGCAAGCTACTCAAGCGTCAGCACAAGCAGCAGAAATAAGGCAGCAGTTGGCAGTCCTACATGCTGAGATGCTAAGTATGCAGTACCAGCGTCAACCTCCACAATCCCAGCCTCCGCAGCAACACCTCCGCTAGTGATCAGCTCGACCATGATGCCATCTCAGGTGATGCGGAGGCCTATCGATCCCAAGTCCCCACTCTCTGAAGGCATACAACAGTCGCCATGGCCAACGGCGTACTAGCCAGTCGCACTACCAAAGTTCAACGGCAAGACAGACCCCCATCAGTTTATTATGAGTTACGAGGCAGCAGTAGCCTCCGCCAGCGGAGACGACGCCGTCTTGGCAAAGTCATTCGTCATTGCAGCCGAAGGCGACGTGTTGGCTTGGTATTCTATGCTCAAACCAAGCACAGTCTATTCTTGGGAGAACCTCCGGGACAAGATATTGGCAAACTTCAAGGGGCTAGCAGCACAGTCGCTGACTTCCACAGATCTGTTCTAGTGCAAGCAAATGCAGGGAGAGACACTACACGACTACGTCTAGAAATTCGTGCAACTAAAGGCGAAGGCACCAGACGTCCTAGACGAGATTGCCATCGAAGCAGCGATCAAAGGCCTCCGAATCGGGCCATTCGCTGCACACCTAGCAAGAAAGAAACCAACTTCCATACAACAGTTGTATGACGAGTTCGAGAAATACTGCAGATCAGACAATGACCTCCAGAAAAGGCTGGAGGAGCAGGGTCAAAATAGACAGCAAAACAGCAGCAAAAACTCCCAGAACGCATCAAATCAGAAACTAGGCCAGCGGCAAGTGCTTAGTATCGAGGGTCAACCTCACCCCGAGCAAGGGCAACTGGAAGCGCCAGCACGGTCGGAGACCTAGACCAGAAACCAAGGTCGACAAGGTTACCAAGGCAAAAACTGGAACAAAAACCATAGCCAGAAACAACACGAGCCATATTGCGTTTTTCACGGCAAAAACGCAGGGCACGGCACCAAAGATTGTCCGGAGACAAAAGAAACATAGGAAAGGATGAAGAACAAGCAGACTGCCCAACCTCCGACACTGCAGAGCGCAAGAGAGGTCAACACCACCTACACAACTGGCCACCAGCAGTACTGCCCAATGTACCCAGCGCTAAACGCAACCCAAATACATCCCTCCACACTGGCTTCTGCCTATTACCCAAACTTCCTACCAGCATAGCGATCATCGCCTTCACAGCAGCCTCCGGCGGGCAACTACAGGTCGAAGGCAAGCCTGACCTACATAAATCCAAAATCTCCCCATATAACCTACCTCGAAATAAACCCAACGGCACAAAACCAAATAAGGTTCGAGCCTCCGCCGCAACAGCACCACATGCAGCAACTGCCTCCACTGCCACCTCACAGCCAACCACCAGCACCAAAAAATGAGCCAAACCAAGAAAACCAAGTCAACCCCCATGGACCGCTACCAACAATAGGCATGATACTACCAATCGTCGGAGGATCATCAATGGAGTTTCAAACAAAAAAACAGAAAAAGGATCACCTCCGCCTGGTAAACAACGTAGCAGTCCAAGGCCCAGCAAAATACACAGATTGGTCCAGAGTCCCAATCACCTTCACAGAAGAAGATCTCTAGCTAGAGAGCTACCCTCACGCAGACGCAATGGTGATCAAGACCAACATAGCAGCATGGGAGATAAGCAGAGTACTGATTGACACTGGCAGTTCACCAGATATCATCTTTGCAAATACCTTCGACTAAATAAAGCTCAGCAGAGATCAACTACAGCCCTCCGAATCCCCTTTAATAGGATTCGGAGGCAAGCAGATACAAGCATTAGGAAAAATCTCACTCCCAGTGTCATTTGGAACCCAAGCAAATGCTAGAACCGAGTACATAACCTTCGACGTCATAGATCTGTATTACCCATACAATGCCATCTTGTGCAGAGGATTCACAACCAAATTCAACGCAGCCCTACATATGGCCTACCTGTGCATGAAAATACCAGCACTCCATGTTATTATCACAGTCCGAGGCAGTCAGAAAGAAGCAAGAAACATAGAAAAAGCTATCTATAGAGCCCAAAGAAACATCAATGCAGTCGAGTCGACAGACAAAGAACTAGAGCCTCCGGATATGCCCAGAGGAAAAACAGATATGGCAAGTCAAGAAGAGACAAAGTTGATCCCTCTAGAAAAGGAGTTACCAGACAGAAAAGTAACAATCAGCTCAGAATTGAGCAAGGCTGAGGAGGAAGAGCTCATGGAAACTCTAGTAAAAAACAAGGACATCTTCGCCTGGTCAGCCTCCGACCTCCAGGGAGTCAGCAGGGACATCATACAGCATGAACTGGATATCAATGAAAACATGAGACCAAGAAAGCAAAAATAGAGAAAAATGTCGGAGGACAGAATCCTGGCAGCAAAGGCAGAGGTGCAAAGATTGCTAGATGCAAAAGTGATCACGGAAGTCAAGTA